TACTCGATTTGACTTTACATAAATTGTCCGTTGCGTGAGTTGTATGTTGGACCTGCTGTCCATTGATCCTGCCGTCTCTGTGTGTTCGCTATTGTACATTTTTCCTTCGCTTGGCCATGCGCAGTCCCTGCGGTTCCATGGTGTAACGGTTAGCACTCTGGACTTTGAATCCAGCAATCCGAGTTCAAATCTCGGTGGAACCTGTTCCTTCTATCTCACATATTTTGGGGAAGGCCCACGTAGTTGTGTAGATAGGTCATGGACAACTATTGATGGACGCTATGTACTTCTATTGTTCTTATTACGTGGTAGTTTGCTGTGCAGTGTTTATTTCGTGGTATGCATGGAATTAAGGTACAGTGAATCCTGACTTGCTTGCGTGACCTTGTAGACAGTAGATCCTCAATCAGCTGTCAGTTAGTGCTTTCATAATTTTGTTAGTGCTGCACGCTAATGAAGTGGCATTGGCACTGTATACACATATGCAGAGCTCCGTGAACAAGTTACGCGTGTATGTCTGCGTGTTAATATTAATAGAAGTTGTTCCCCACTAGTCCGGAGCGCTATTCGCTTTGAGTCTTTTTCCTCCTTCACGAAAGTTCCTTTTGAAAATTATTCTCCCAACCATGTACACTATCAATATCATGCGATACGTTGAAGCTCAACGAGAGGGGAACCCTCGATCTGCAGGTCCTGGGTTCGAATCTCGTCCTGCAATCTACGTCTAAGACGGGATGTGTTCTTGTCAAGAAACGTGCGCGAACTTTCCACTTCATTAAAAGAGGTTATCTCTCGGTAAATAAAGAAATTTGAAGACGCTGTTAGGAAATGTTACATTTTCACGCTTAGTCTAACGTGAAATATCATGTCGTGACTGAAGACTTCGCCTCGGTTTTGTTAACTGTAGGGAAAGAAAATTTAAGATCTTACATTGAACTTATAGGATTTGTTATTTCAGGATTTGTTATTTGCCATTGAATGGGGAACAATGGCCGCGTGGCGTAATGGATAGCGCGTCTGACTTGGGATCCGAAGATTGCACATTCGGGTCCTGCCGCGGTCGATTAACTTCAGCTGAAAATTTCCTTTCTTAGTTTGCTGCAACGAAAAAATACGAGCTGTTATGTTCAGCAGTTCATCCTACGGAAAGACTGCTTTTGTTGTAAACAAACAGTAGGCGAATTTTTCGAATTCCGATTGTGAATACAATGTGTTCTGACGTGCTTCCTTTCATCTGTAGCCTAATGGAGCTATCAAAAGAGCAATACGGAGTGCAACGTGCACTGGTTGAAACGAATAGCTGATTGTCTTTATTTTAGGGATTATGGAATGGTTACCGGCCTTTAAATATGTTTTCTAATTTGAAAGCTGAAGGTACGGAAACGTTCATTTACACCACTACAACGCCAAGGAACAAGCTATGAGAGCCCCTGGAGAGAATTGAACTCTCGACCCCTGGTTTACAAGACCAGTGCTCTAACCACTGAGCTACAGAGGCCTGTGTCAACGGGACGAGGTGACATATCCATTAAGTGATACATGTAGCTTCGCAGCAGTGTTGTGTCATTCTTGAAGGTTTCTGTGTCTATCGAGAGCGACCCGTGTACGGGCCATTCAATTCTGAGTGTGAACATAGCTGTATTGGCGTCATTGAAAAGTTACGCGTTAATTGAGTTTTATGTACCCGTTACTTTAATATTGTCCGCTCATAACAACTTCAAAGCTTTTTACGTTTAGAGTGGTTTGATTGATTTTCCAAGAAGCAGACGTAGTGGTGCTGTCGGTTCCATGGTGTAACGGCTAGCACTCTGGACTCTGAATCCAGCGATCCGAGTTCGAATCTCGGTGGAACCTGCACATTTCGGCGGCCATACGTAGAAATAATACTCACTTGTTTATAGGCTGTATGCACCGTTTTGCCCAATACTACGAGTCTTCGTTTTTGTTTTCAGTACGGCACGTTTAGGCACAAACAGAGAAATAGCGTAGCTGTCGGGAAGGTCTCTGCTACGCTCTTTCTTTGTTCATCTCTAAACAAACGCATAAACCTCCTGTGAACAAAAAAATGAAAGACAAACGCACAGAAAATTGAACGTCTCATAACTGGTCGGCCGTTTTTACGAAAGAAAAAACGGTTTACTTTCCCCTTTCAGTTTTTGTTTCATAAGAATACCGTTGTAAAAAGTTACGTTCTTTACATATTGTGAGCCAGTTGCAGTTTTCGCTCAGCTCAGTGGAAAAGGCGAGCCGGAGTAGCCTTTCCTCGCAGCAAATCTATTTGGTGCAGCTGAGATGATGCCTCAGGAGGGCTTCGAACCCTCGACCTTGAGATTATGAGACTCACGCGCTACCGACTGCGCCACTGAGGCTGCAAGCTTCGTTTTTCTGATTGTCAAGTTTCAGAACTTCAAGTTTATGTAATGAGTGGTGGAATAAACGATTGCAATTTTGGTAAACAACAAAGCTTTACTCGTTCAATATGATTTCGCCCATCGCTGTGACGATGCAGGTTCGTTATAAAAATGAAGGATATGTTGTTAATCTTACGTCATTCTTTGTTGCCCATCAGTGTTGTAACCACGGCCGGATAGCTCAGTCGGTTAGAGCGTGGTGCTAATAACGCTAAGGTCGTGGGTTCGACCCCCACTCTGGCCACTAATAACCTTTGTGCATCATTATTGGAATGCGAAGAGTTGTATACGCGCTATCACAACTTTAAAACCAAACTTCTTCAGTCTTAAGGTGCACTGTTGTATATACTGCTGATTTTAACTTGATCTATGCGAATACAAATTGAAAGATGCATAATATTGAGAACAGAACCATAAGTTATCCTTGAGTTGCTTACAAAGATAGAAGCGAAGAAAAAAGCGATAGAAAGGTTCGCCTAACCGCAGAAATCATTTAGTTCGCATTGATCAATATTTGATTTGCTTTTCTGACAGTGGGTTATGGAAAAAGGCCGCAGTGAGCAAAGTTGAAAGGTTGTTTGGGTTTAGCGTATTTCGACAAGCTACATTTGGAGTACCTGATCTTCGTTTTCTCTTCAGTCCATCTGCTGTAATGCAGTGCGTTCAGCCGTTGAAAAACTTTGCTACACAAAGCTTGCAGAGCCGGCCGTGTTCCGTCATCAGTGTATAACGCAAATGGTGTTACACGCTGATAACGTTTGCGGGAAAATTAGACATTATTTGTCCTAGTATCCTCATTGGCGATTGGTTAACTCACGTTTAAGACGTTTAGCTTGCGAAGTAAGTTTCTGGAAAGTCTCACTGGTCTAAAGTTCGCTTCTATAGAAAGAAATAAGCTGGTATGAACGATCCGCAATGCTTAGGCCTTCGTGATTACTTCTGAAAGAAGTTGCTTCGTATTTTCTAATGCTTCGCATTGTGAATGGAATTGGCCAGAGTGGCGGTCGAACCCACGACCTTAGCGTTATTAGCACCACGCTCTAACCGACTGAGCTATCCGGCCATCTGTAACGGGGAAATCGTACTTATCACAAGTGCTTTTTGTTTGATGAAATTGAGATGAGAAGAGAGAATATGACATTTTGAGATACTGTTCTCTAATGCAGGAAGTTCGCGTCTCCATGTGAGAAGTAGATCGGCTATCGTTTGACAAAGATGGTATAAATTTACAAAATGCGGTGTGCTCATTATAAGAATGCGTGGAGATTGAAGTAACTCTTGTGCGTTTAGTTCATAGGCCATTGACATATGAATCGGTTAATTTCAATTCTTGAGTTCTCCTCCTTTTCATAGCTAATTGCTGACCCACGCAGGAATTATTTCTGATTTACCGGAAGCTTGTCTTTCAAGACCTAATGGTGTGAACGACTAGAAAGTTCTTTTATAAACAGCTAGGTGAAAACGATCAGTTAATAACTCTTTGTTGCTGCTGCACTGATGGTCACATAAGAGTCATCGTTCTGAAAACACTGCTTTTAGGAAAAATAATTTTCTTCAATAGCTTTTGGAACCCCAGTGGACATATATATCCGCGATTCGAGGCAAACTTCTTGTTAGATCGGGTGGCTATGTCCAGAGTAACGTGCGTTCCACTCGCGCCTGCGCGTCCCACAATGGAGCAACTCATTGTACTGTAAGGGCGTGCAAAAGTATTGAATGGCGCTAACTTAGTATTAAAGGGAGAAATAATATCCCTAGATGAAAGACTGTAGTGATTACTCTGGAAAAGTAGTGTATCTTGACTGG